CTCTTGACTCTTCCTCAATGCAAAAATGCTTTTGAATCTCTTCCAAAGAATAATCTTTAAAACCGTGAAGAATTTTCTTCCTATATTCCTTTCATGATTATGGCAATTTTGCAATGATTGCACTAACTTGGAAAGTTTTGGGAAGATCAATCTTCACAGTCTTCATTTTATTGACAATAACTTTCAATTCATGGACTTATCCTAACAAAGGCAAGTTATCCAAAAATTTGAAATCGAAATACTTAGAAATCAAAAACTTGTTGGTCCTTAGCCTTGTAATTTTTTTTTCAAGATTCCCCTACATCCATTATCAAGGTGTTGTTTGTATAAATACCATAGAGATGATCGAAAAGAGTGTTCAGAATATCACTTTTTCTTTTGTCCTTATTGCATATGTGTCATTTGTGGTTAATTCCAGTAATGGTGCTAAGTCTCGATTCAAGATATAGAAATTTTCAATGTTGTAAGAAGAAACTTCAACTTGTCTTCCATCTGGTAAAGTTCGATCAGTCAAATCTATCGAGCTTCACAAGTTTGTAGCCATGGTTGTCTCATTCTCCATGTTAAGAATATTGTTTGATATTGTTGTGAAAAGTTGATGAAGAACAATGATGATCATCAACAAGAAATTGTCAAAATGGAAAGTTTGAACACAATTATGAATTGCTGTCCTCAAACAATATTTGCCATCACTAGGACAAATGTTTGAAGGCTTTAAAAGGTAAATATTTTCCAGGAGTAATCAAAATTTTAATCCAAGTTTGAATCAAATAAAAACAAAACTTGTAAACGAACTTTTAGAACAAATATTGGAACTTTGTTTGATCTTTGATTTCATGTTAATGGTATAGAATTGATGTTAACGATGTGTTTCCCAACATGAAAACCATTTCTATATATAGTACTACAACCACCATGTACGAAAAAAATTCAAAAATGAAGCTGAAAAGGTATAAAGCTCTTCCAAATGACACCATAATTTCAAAATCCAATCGGAAAAAATTGTACTGGACGATCAATCATTACAAAACCGGGTGATCACCCAATTCATATCAATTTCTTCTGCAATTGATGTTTGAAGCCGGGGGATTGCCCAGTTTCGTCTAACTTTTTTTTCTTTCGTTTTGATTTTTTTACTTCCATTTTGTTTTTCACATGGTTAATTTAAATGAACATATGAATGTTTTGTTAGAAGAACAAAAATTTGGAGACCTGCTGGAGAGATTTCACATGGAAAATTATCTGAGTGTCATGGTTAATCTCTAACATTTGGTTATAGAATTGGTTTTTTAACTTGAGGTTATCATAGTACCTTATATAGGATAGTTGTACTTTAGTGATGTTGGATGTTGCTCTGCTAGAGTCACTAATACGGCATTATTCGGTCACGTCAAGAACAGTATAAAGGTTGTAAATGATTGTAGACGATTTGTCACTCTAAGATAGTAAGTAAATATGGTCTACATTTCGATAAGTTGATAACAAAATCATTTGCCAAAGTATACTCATAAGTAGAAAGCATTTNTAGTAAGTAATTATGGTCTACATTTTGTTAAGTTGATAACAAAATCATTTGCCAAAGTATACTCATAAGTTGAAAGAATTTTCGACTTACATTGACTTAATAGTGGGAGAAATATATGATTTATAATCAAGATTAGCACACTTCATATTTCGTAAATGATAGAAACATATTGATGAAATGATTAAAGTTTCATGGTAAACGAATAAGTTTGGTTTGTCATACCACTTGACATTTTTCGTCATATGTATTGCCGTGACATATTACTAGATGTCAATTTGGGATGACAAGTGTGAATTAATAATAAATTAAAAGAAAATTTTATTTATTGAATCTGATTGGATCAAAATAATAACTCATGTCATTAAAAATAATGATCGAGAACTTAATGGGTCACACACAAAATGAGAATTAGAAGAATTAAATATACTAATCAATTAATTGACAATGGACAATTAATTAATTTATGAACCAAGCTTAATTAATTAGATTAATTAAATACTGGACCAGGTTAAGTGTAAGTGACGGGCCAAGTCCACTAATCAATTAATTGACAATGGACAATTAATTAATTTCGTGAATTGCATATCGTGATTGTTCTTCGTAGAATTAATTAAAGGTATAATTCTTATCACGGTTTCTATTGAAATTGATTTAAATTTCGTTGTGCATGATTAATTAAATTCCAACACAAATCAATGTGATGAATTCTGTATGTAGTGTATCTATCTGAAACGAAACTATACCAAATGTGTTCTTGTTTTTGCTGTTCACAAAATTTCAACAGTCAAACAAGGTTTGCTTTATATGACATTTTTTTCACTTCTTGAATTTCCTGTTGTTTCACTTCCTGGCTTTTCCAATATATTCAATAACATCAGGACAATCTCATGCTCACAGTTTTCTATGAATATGGTAAAGGACAATATGCATTTCAAACACCGCAATGAATAAGATGTGATAATAGCAGCATAAATTTGTTTTTTACTCTTCATTATCAAAGCTAAGGAGTTTTTTCTAATTTGAGCTGTAAATTTGAATGAGAACATAAGGTGTTTGATTTTCTTTATTCATTTTTCAACTTTTAAACCGCAAGCCCCACTATCACAAATTATGATGTAGGCTCCACTTGGGCCGACCTTAGGTGGGTGTCCCTCCAAAGTACAATGGAGGTCCCCCAACCTAGGCCATGAGCCTTCTGTAAGTGTTATACTCTAAGTCTAATTAATTTTTGATATAAACACTTTTAATATATATAATCGATACATATTTATGGAAAGATATATTATTTAATTGAATTAATATTCAAATAAATTAAATAATAGAATCTGTATATTCAAGTCTTTGTGATTTGTTAATCACATGAAGTTGTGATTGTGAGATAAAAATTACATATAAGTGAATCTTAAATCGTCGTGGTCGTATATAATAACAAGATACGGATATCGTTATTACAGATAGATCATCACGTGTAGCATTTCTTACTTGTGAAGTAAGTAGCTGATCTCACAAACTAAAGTGTGGTGACACTTGACTAAACACGTGGATATTTTGTTATAGAATAAAATATTAGAGACCTACTGGGAGATTCCACATAGATAACTATATGAGTATCAGTAGTTAATCTATAACGTTCGGTAGTAGAATTAGTCATTTAACTTAAGGTCATGATAGTGCCTTATATGAGGATAGTCATATTTTAGTGATGTTGGATGTTGCTCTGCCAAGGATCGCCAATAGCATTGTTCGAGTATGTCAAGAATCATATGAATGTTGTGAATGATCAATAGATGATTAGTCACTTTTGGATAGTAAGAGATTGTGATCTACATTTCATTCAGTTAAGTTGATAATGAAATCATTGGTCAATGTGTACTCATAAGTTGAAAATGAGTTTTCGACTTACATTGACTTAATAGTGTGATGAAAGATATGATCGATAATTGTGATTGACACATATACATATCCCCTAATTGATCGACATATTGACGAATGGGTTATAGTTTCACGGTAAACGACCAAATTTGGTTTTGTCATGCTACGTGATA